GCCTATCCTGCTTACCTTCGGGACCGTTTCTCCTTGGTTCGTCCTCCTGAAGTCCTATCTCGTTCACACCTTAAATCTAATCTTAAAATCCAACCCCATAATACCGATTTTTATTCCTACTCCTTTTCCGTTCATGCAGTGAGACTGTGGAATGCGCTCCCGCCTAACATTCGGGACGCTGAGTCTATCGCTATCTTTAAAAAACGAGTGAGAGAACACTACCTTTCCTCCTGATATGTAAATTTCTTCATTTATATGTATAGTTTATATTTTGTATGTATTTATTTATGTATTGTATGTAGTTGTTTGGTTATTTATCTGTTAGTTTTAAGTCTGTTTCCTATCCCAATTTTCTATTTGTTACTACACACTGTGTCATTATATTATTATTACTTTTCCTGCTCCAGGTCCACAGGAAGAAATTCCAATAGGAATATGTGGTACCTTTGTACTTTGATTTTATGTATGTGTTGTCCTTTATATTGTATGTGTGTACATAAATAAATAAATAATAATAATAATAATAATACATTGTTACGTTTTTAGAATTTATCGCAAGGAGGATGTAATAGGTAGATAGTTAACTCTCAGAGATTTTTTATATTAGAAATAGGCCGGTGATATTATGTGGACTCAAGCCTTCGTGGCCGGGCCATAGTATTAAGCTGAGCTCCAGCCTTTTGCGCTGCGAAATAGCAATATTTGTAAAAAAACATCCCAAACTTTATAATAAGGTATCATAAGAAGAATTCCTCCAAATATCCAACGCGACTTGCTGGAATAAGATGTAGAAGCACACTATGCCAAAAGAACTCATATATAACATCAATCAAAATATTTGACAAAGTACCTAAACATATAAGATAAATACCTTTAAATAAATTAAGATTACATTAAATAAACTACTAATCAACAGTTGCTTTTACACCTTAGATGAATTTCTGACAATGAAAGTTTAATGTGTGCAATATTAAGTGTGTTGTTATTTAGTAAGTCACTGTGTGAATGAAGAAGACCAGTAATATGTTAAGAATAATATGTTAGGAGAAATAATATATATTATTCTATGTAGTTGTAAGGACTTTTGTAATTATTTTCTATTAATTGTAACATTTTAACTTTATTAATTGTAAAATATAACTTTGCATGCCGAAAACAGTAGGCGACGTATGTGGGATTATTTTTTTATAATTATTATTAGATACCTGTATTTACCATAGATACTTCGTGCAAATAAACGTTCTTATTTTTATTCTTATGCGACGCACCATTCGCTTTTTGTGTGTACCTGTATTCTTGTGTGTCGTGGCGTAATAAATGGTTTTTCTTGCTTTATTTATTTCTTTCTCTCTTCTATTAGAAATAGACAACTATCTTACTTGATGGTAAACGATGATACGACCTAAGCTGTGTTCTATTAAGAATTCCATCCTATGAGATTACTATAAGGTGAGTAACTGTAAGGTCGTGCAACAAGCACCTTACCAAGGTTCGATGCCTTATTGTTGTATATATTATATTTTACTGTTTGCCACCTACAGTTAGTCTGCCCTATGTTTCAATAATTGAATTTTTGTGTACCTATATAAAAGTTTAAATAAAATAATTACACTTACTTTTAATAAAAACCGTTAACATCATCGAACACAGAGGTAAAAAAGCACAAACTAAATAATGTAGACGTAACATTAAAATTAAATAAAATTATCTTTTATTCACATCTTATGACTTATCGTGTTATGATATAATAACATATTACATGCTTAGGTAACTGTTCACGTGTATAACAGTGGTAGGTACAACTTTTATGAAATTTAATGTAAGATAATATTAAGGCGATTACACATGATCTTAAAAAATGGTGGTGTGATCACTAATACTACTGTACTAGTAGACTGCCTCGTTGGCCAAATGGTCGCAATTGCGACTGCCGGGCAAGGGATCTCGGGTTTGATTCCCGAGTCGGGCAAAGTATTACTGGGTTTTTAAAAACTTTTCAGTGGTATCACGAAGTATAGAATTGTGCCCGGTATTTGGCTCACCCCCTATTACATGGGACTCATAACATCAAATAGTGAATAGTAGGTATTACATGGTATAGCAGCATTAAGTGCCGTAACGTGCACCTCCGCCTACCCCTTCGGGGATAAAAGACGTGATGTTAATAGACGTGTTGTATATGTTATCAGTAGTGTGACCTCTAAGCAAGGGGTCTCGAGTTTCATTCAGTCGGGTAAAGTATTGCTGTATTCTTTCGGTTTTTGAAAACAGAACTCATTAATAAATAGCACCGAGTCTCTGTGGCTCACATTTATTTTTTTATATTAAAAAATTCAACCTAATTGTTTTGTATTGTATTCATAACCTAAACGTCTCTATTTATTTTATAGCAAAATATCGATAAAAAACTAATATCAATAAAATACGTAAGAACTATAAAACATTGCATTCATTGTTATTATACATTTCAAAATCCTTACTTGAAATAACTTCTCACAGGTCTAAAATTATCTTGTGTCAAAAATCCTCAATAAAAAACTGAATTCAAGTATCCAGTTCATGATGACGTACGTACCATACTAAATTCTGAATTCAAACGTATTTAACCGAATAATATTACTGGTGGAAAATAAAACGCGGGATAGTAGAATGCTGGATAGTAAACCGGGAATGTGATGATCTTCTGGACACATTTGTCTTCTGGTTCTTTGTTACAATTTGGATCACTTCGGCGACTAGGATGACCCATCGTGTTCATGTAGGTTGATTGTAAAATAAGTATTGTCAGGAATATTTTGATTATTAGATGCATTTCTGTAAAAAATTAACAGAGTTTAAATTTTTTATCTACAACTCTTTCACATATGATATTTTCCTTTACAAACGTTTTTATTGATTTAGGTATCGTCAGAAACATCTAGTTAAGATCTCAAATAACTGAGGAGCGTAAAATGCACTGAAAAAACAGAACAGGTACATAATGTACACAGGTAAAATAAATAAAAAAAAATTAAAACCAAATCGGCCACAAACTAAAAAAATACTTACTCATAAATAAAAATCTATTCTAAAATTAAAAATTCAGATTTTGTTCATCTTTGCACTTCAATGGCGTCCTCCGACGTCAAATATGGCGACAACAATAAAATTACGCGCGCCATAATTTTTAAGTGTTCTCAAACGTTGATTATCGAATTATTATGATTGGTAATTATTATTGAATTTCCGACCCATTCCATTAAACCGCAGTAAATAAATTAATCTACCGATAATGGTGCTTTTATCGGTAATTTATCGATACGAGTTACGAGTTACACATGTTTACGATAATTAAGAAAAGAAACCACGAAATTTTTTCTTACTACCCATTTTTTTAAGTGGGGAAATCATCGAACGACTGCTCCCGCCTGGGTGAGGCGGAAGGGAGTGTCAGACTCTTACTGACTAAAAACCACCCCGTTCCTTCTCCTGCAATTCGACCCGGAGGTTCTCCGCGACACCGAATCGGCTTCAGCCCTAATTGGCTCCATCCGTGGTGGTCTGATGGCTCTTTGAGGCGAGCGCAGAACGCGACGCGCCGTACGCTCGGGTCTGGTTCTGGTCGGACAGTGAGCCACCCATCTTCGCCGTCTGCAGGCTCGCCAGTGGCCGGAGATCGTCCCGCGATCCCCGACGCCCGGAGTGTCCTTCGTGATGGCTAGATTGAGAGGAGGCAGTACTTCGCTGCCTCACGCGCCCTGCCTCCTCCTTAGCTAGCATGACTGTGCTTCGCAAAAGGAGGAGGCATCCCAGTCCCCATTAGTACCCATAGGTACCCATACATACTAGCGTGATTTCTTAATCTTTGTTGACACATATGTCTTCAGAGAAAATTTATTTCTCTATATATATTGAAGCCCTATGGTGATAAGGGGGGTAGTTTAGAAGGAGTCTGGATACATTTAATGCATTCCGATCTATTTGCGTATTAAAAATTTCAAAATTAATATTGAATTCTACGAGATCACAGAATATCGTCATCTATAGTTTGTCAAGTCTACTAGTCAGAAATGTAACTGCTATATACCGACCCAGAAGCTTCGGGGCTTGATTCCCGAGTCGAGCAATGTAATGTTACATAGGTAATTTACCGATTGTCCAGCCATTGATGATTTATGTAATCAATTTAATAGACACCACGTATTTTAATAAAACATGTCATTTTAAAGAGCTTTACTACCTATGTACCTATCTAATTAAAAATCAATGGAGAATGGAGACACAGATTTATTGTCAAACGAACTAAGAATAAAAAATATGACATATAATTTATTACGTGAAGCGTTGACCCGACCAGGTTAATAAATTCTTAAGTTATTTATGGATGAATCCAGTTCTAAGAAAAAAAATATTTAACCGTAAACTAATAATAAGTATTGAATAATGTCAAGTCACGAGTCATTAACCGCTTAAACCTTATTTTGAAGAACTATTGACATCTCTATATTCCGATCGTTTATTATTAAATAATGTAAGTACACTTATAATAGGAACATTATTGTCTCGATAACCGTTTTGAAACAATGAAAGTGAAAGTAATTATAAAAAAAAAACTTTCCAGTTTTATCTCCAAAACAAACAAAAAGTATATTTTTTATTTCCGTAAATTACAAGTTATGTATATGTACCAGAAAATTGGTCACGATCACAATGATACACTTACGTACTCTTACGAATCAGAAGGCATAAGGCATTATAGCGGGAGGTCTGTGCCCGGTGAAAAAATGACAGATCATTGTAGCGCACACCGCGCATGATCCGCGCGCGTCTTCCCGCGCTTTTAGAGCGCGAGATTTAAAAACGGAATTGTTTACGAGCAATCATTGGTAATATTTTGAAAATTCTTTTTGCCACTTTTTTCTATTTATTATTTGTTGAATATATTTTGAAATATAAATAAATTGTAAAATCTTTTAGATGTACCGTTTTTAGTAATAGTTGTATTCAAATAAATTTTTTTTATCTTCTTACGAACTATTTTCGTTAATACTATTATATGGAATCTGTGATGTGACTTTAATCAATGTGTGTTATTGAAATTAAAACTCTAAAAATGGTGGAAAACAGTTCAAATTTGCGGGAACCCGGCAAAAACACGAGTGTTCAAAGAACAGTGGCATGTTTTATCAGTGCGTGTCGAAAATTAAATAGTTTGGAGAGCATTTATGCGGGTCTATTTGTGTTGCTTGTGCCATCAGTTGTTTGTAAAGCAGGTGAGAGAAATTTAATATTTAATGAGGTTATTTGAAACAATAGATCACTCAATGTAGTTACTAGTTTTTTTCTGTGTTGATGTTACACCAACGCATATTTTAAACTTAAAGTAATATTGTAAACATCAGTAAATAGTCGATTAAAATAATCAAATAAATTAATAGTTAAAGTGAATAAACGTAAATGTAACTGATGATGAATGAGAGATATAAGACTCATCAGTTACATTTAATAATTTATTTGATTATTTTAATCGACTATTTACTGATGTTTACAATATTGGTTTAAGTTTAAAGCCTTTCTTAAAGATTTCTTGCTTTAAATTTTCTCATAGGGCAACAAGCGTGATACTATGTTTATAAATGTAAATTAAACAAGACAAGTAAATACTAAGTGAACGTGAATGATTTGCCCCCTCAAAAAAAGGGGTTGAAAAAATAATTCCATTATACAGAATAAAATGTGTCTTCTACCTTTACTTAAGTACTGTGAAGATTCAAATGTCTCATACAAACAAATTGTACATCAAATCAGTATTGTACGTACCTATTATAAAAGTTAAAATACAACAACAATGGAAGCAATATAGAAAAAGCAATTAAATTAAGATTATCATTGCGAAATCATCATCTTACAGATATTATCTCAGTAGAAGCCAGTGAGAGGGTATTACGTCCACCTTGCATTACATATAGAACTACTTGACGAATATCTTGTTGATCTTTGCATACATAATCGCGATCTTTAACCATGAATCACAGTTTGAAATTCCGATTAAGTTTAAGTCAATTCTCGGTTAAGTAAGGTTTAACTAGAGCAAGAAACCTCATCTCCTAAGTTGGTTAGGAAAAGAAGAAAGAAAGAAAAAACATTTATTTATAAGGGAAGATATAGAAGCTATGACATAGATAGGTTTGTCCTAAAATTATGACAAGTGTGATGATAATGACGACCGTTATTAGTCTAAGTTATAATATACAATTCACCATTTTCCTTTTAACACAGTTTAAACGTGAAGTTTATTCAACATGAGGATCCAAAGACAGATTATCTCTCATCATCATCAGGGCTCAAATTAATGTTATAATCCTGTTTATGAAACTTAAATTGGTGAAATCTTTATTAACATATACTTATATTTAGCATTCGCATACAATCTATAAATAGACCCTTGATCTATAAGGCGAGTGTAACTTCCAAATAATAGTCAGCATTGTTCTGTTCTTGTACAAAATATGCAGCGAACCCTTTCCATAACGGTGTCAGACAATGACGCTTGAAGACTAGTTACCTATACCTAGACGTACTTTGTACTAGGCGTGTAACGGTGTACTATGTTTGTATGTAGATTTAAAAGGGCTATGATTATGGCATAGTTACTTTTGTCAGACAATAATAGTCTTCATTAAAAGTAATACGAATCCATTCCGAAGATTTCGTTCGTGGCTCAACTACACAATTGTCGAATAAAACTAATAGGTATCACATTTCAGTGACTATGAAGAATCAATCAATCAGTAAGAATACTCTTAGATTTCTAAATTAAAGTAAGTACGTTACGTTACACGCCCCCGTAGCCCCGAATTTAAACTGTCAAACACCAAGCGGTCACCGGTGACCGCAACCTATTGTTCTATAATTGTGTCTGCAAAACCGGTACTCGACGAGTTAAAATACATAAATTAATCCATTTTGCAAAGATTGTGGTCAGCCAGTGACCGCCCATCTATCGACCGCTACAAAAACCTTTTGAATGACAAATATACTCTACATTCCTTTTTGAAATTCGTAATTAAGTATAGGAATCGATTCAACTTTTACACGATCGACAAAGTTGGGCCCTTCATTAATTGAATTTTTAATCCTTTCTGTACAATGGAGTTTGTTTACAAAATTTCGGTACTTTAAAAATAAAGGGAGTTATCTCGTTTGTCTGGTGGTCATAAGGGTGAAGTTTGAAAGTGAGATCTAGCGACTAGCAGATATTTAACGGAAGCCTAGCCTAGCCGGGCGAGTTGTCCCCATAAAAATACCTAGCAAAATATGTCCTTCACATTCACTCTTTCGCTTACTCCACCACGGACAAACAGCTCTGACATTACGTATAATAAAAAGCAAGGTTGCTTAAAAATGTCGAGGGCTAAACATCATTGTAGGAATGACCGAAACAGAATTCAAAACAACAATACAATAATGTGTAATCACAATAACGCAATTGTGGTAACCGTGAAACTTGAAGTAAGTAAGTACTTTGATATTACATAAAAATTATGTCAAATGGTATGGTGAACTTTTCCGCGAGCAGTGTCGCGAAAACGCAACGGAACGACGAGTCCAATAATCGATTCCACCATTAACTCGATTACACAATGCATTTCCGACGCGATTGTTCGTAACAGACCTACTACATACCGATTGACTTGATAAAACTCGTAACAAGATTCTTTACTTCTTAATAAAAAATATGGTACCGTAAAAATAATACACTTCTGAATTGTTATTAGACTTGTGAGTGAATGTTTAATTGGCATTTGAGTAAAAATGTAACAGATATTAACGAAAAAATATAACACACAATCACAAAGAAAGAAAGAAGAAAGAAAAGAAAAAGCATTTATTTGGCACATTGCACACAAACAAAGATTATGAAAAAAAAAATAAAAAAAAAATTATCAGATAATTCCTTGTGCACCTAAGCAAATTAATGTTTTTATTTTAGGGGTTCATTATCATCATCATCATATCAACCACAACACGTCCACTGCAGAACATAGGCCTTTATGTATTATGTACTTATAACGTCTTTTGTTAACCTAAGTCCAAGTAGTACCATAAATTAGACGATTACAATGCGCAGCGATGGTAAAATGGTCCATGCGTACCGAGATGGCATTCACTGCACTTCCTTTATGGGTCATACAAGGAAATACACCATAAACCTATATATGGTTATTGAAACAAAGAACATTCAATCTTATTAAAAAATAATACAGTGTGTGCTCAGCATTACACAGTATACTTAATTCCTTGTTAAGTCAACAAGAAATATTTTGCTATTACAAATGTTATTTTTATGTTAATTGAGAAGACATTGAAATAAGCGAATGATTCATTGTATTATTTATATACTATCTAGTTTTAAAATATAACCTGGAACTACTTAGAAACACACACAAAAATAACAAAAAAACTAAATCTAGTATTGATCTGTCTATACTATAGACAGATCATCTACTTCATCTAACTAACTACAACGGTTCATGAGATACGGCTTGCTGATAGACAGGTGAAATCCTTTTAAGAGCAATCCGTTTTTAACCCTAATATACAGAACCTTTAAAAGAACTGTGTCAGAAATGCAAAATGTATTTTTTCATTGAACCTATCTAAACATGATCTTATTCTAAGGCCATTAGCACATTAGCGTGATAGCGCGATAGCCAACCACCTATTATTCCACGACACTGACCCATATATCTAATGTTATAACAATTATTATGTGATCACTTGTATTCAATTTATATCATGTATATAAAATAAATGATCTTGTAATATTCGCAACCGTTTGATATTTGTTAGATATCATTTGCACGCCATCGCAAAAAACATCATGTTATTCATTGGATGTTAATCTTTAGAATAAACACGAGCAAATGCAACATGCATAGAAAAGTATAGTTAAGTTGTCGGTGTGTGCATCATCATTAAGACTAGCTACAATAATTTATTTAGTGTGATGTGCTAATTCTTCTAAAGTTGTGGTTAAATTAAACGACTTAACTCCGGCCGGCTCGACCGGAGTGATACCACGGCCTCACAGAAAACCGACGAGAGACAACGCTTGCATTGTGTTTCGTCGCATGACTGAGGTTACAGGTGACCCAATGTCGCCCCCTCCTCTCAATCTCCCTCATCCCTGAATCCTCAAATTCCCAATTCCTAAAAGGCCGGGAACGCACTTGTAACGCCTTGGTGTTTTAGGTGTCCATAGGCGGCGCCGATTGCTTACCATCACGTGATACGTATGCTCGTTTACCGGCTTATGTCATAAAAAAAATATTCTACACTTACGCTAAGTTTATCAAAATTCTTAATAAATATGTATGTCATATTTCCTTATTTTTATACATATATGACTGGCCGACGTTTGACCACTATCTCGTCAGGTGGTTAAAGATGATGCGGTCTACGATGGAGCACGTCGTCTCACAACCATCCTAATCACTAGGGCCTTGTAGACACCCAGGTACATACCCTTCAGGAAATACAGACTCTGGCAAAGAATTCCACTCCTTAGCAGTACGCACAAGAAAGCTTAAATTTGCTTGCTTGAACCGTTCTCCTTTCTCAAAATATGTTATTGCATGACATTTTCTTCATATCACTCTTTGCTCAATATATGTCTATCCTTTCTTTCCATTTACTAAATAGCAAAATTAATATTTCAAAAGTCTTGCATCGTTGTTTTATAACTTTTATTTCCAAGTTTCTGAAATGTTAGTCGATTAAAGAGGATTGCTGCACCACCGTTGCATTAAAATATTGACATTCAGCCAAACTTTACGCCACACTGACACACCTAGTAACATTGCAGACTATCTTCATATTATATTTCACCATAACATTATATTATTATCTATTTATTTTTAATCTTTATTTATGTAACGAATATGAATAGGGCGGTCGGTAGAGGGTGACTTAGATGGACATATTGGCGATATATTAAAGAAGTGCCAAATTAAAAGTACCCTTAACCGACGAACATGCATGAAAAGATTGAAGATGAAGCGGAAAAGGAATGTAGGAATTGTAGCAATTGGCGTTCCATAGTCTTTGCCTAACCCCATGGGAGACAGGCGTGAAGTTATGTATGTAGTTATGTCTTTATTTATTTATAAATGTATTAGAGATTTTATCCAATAATGATCCCCAACACCATCCTACCTTATTTAAATGTCCTATATACACTTAGCTTAAATTACAACTTCATAATACATAT